AACTGATGATGAATTGTTTCTTTCCATGATTGATTATCCGGTAAGGATTTCTGAAGGTTTTGAGAGATGTTAACAAAGTAGTTATTTAGAAAATTTGCAGGCGATGCTATAATTTGTTCATTATCTGTGATCGATGCAGGGTTGATCTTTTTTTGCCTGCTTGTTAACCTATTAATTATTGACCATTGACCATTTTTATTTTTGTCCAACAAATCACAGAAATATTGCCTTTTCAGAATAGATTTAACCTTGTTGCAAATTTGACTTTGTGATTTAAATTTCAGAAAATTCTCACTACTTGAATTTTTAATGAACTTTTTGTACAAGTATTTTTTTTTATTCAGCATTCTGCGAAAATCAGTTGTTACCCAAGGCTTTTGTTTTAAAATTTTTTTAATCTTTCCTAATGAGCTGATCTGACAACAGTCTTTAAATGCCACACGGAAAATGTTGGTGAAAAGTTCGAAAGCAGCATCCACATCTGAGCACAGTAACACATCTGTCCAGTCGGTTGATAGCAGTCTTTCATTTAGTTTATCAATTTTGTGTCTTGAAAAAGAAAATTGATTTTCTCGGTTTTCAAATTCTATTTTCACTAATTGTTGCTTGAAACATGCAAATATGGGTAAGTTATCCGAAATGTCTGTCAAATGCACTCCACAAACTGTTACGTTCTCCGATGCATTGGTAAAAATATTGTCAATCAGAGAGTTTTTTTGTATGTTTATTTTTGTTGGTTTATTTATTAATGCTTTTAGATTATAAGATGTCAGTAAATTTTGGAGTTGACTACTGTAAGATTCGTAATTTTCCAAAAGATCTATATTCAGGTCTCCGGTTAAATAAACTAGTTTTTTCTCATTATTTATGGCTAGCAAAACTTGTTCAAGTTGCTTCATATAAACTTTTTTGCTGCAATGTGGTGGTCGATACGTAACAATAATTAATGAGTTGTTTTTAGACGAGATTCCCACTTCAATTGCAAATAACTCTAGTTCATTTGAAATCATCAAATCATTTCTTATCTTAAATATAATATCATCTTTTACAAAGAGGCCGACTCCACCCCCGTGTCTACCGGAACGATTTTTGCCAACAAAATTGAACCCATTAATCCCAATCGAATCTTCATTCACTTTGTTTAGCCACGTTTCGGTAATGGCTATGACATCAAATTGAAATCAAA